TTGTTGCATATAGTAAACTTTCTGTGCTGTAGTTAGCAATAGTCTATGATTTTCTGGAACTGCCTTTAAGTCACTTGGTAATGGACAGCCATGTCATTTCCTTTGTGGTTGGACCTTGTATTAGACCACAAGATAGTAGTAAGCTTAAGCACAATATTGCCTATAGAGGAGAAGCCCCTGCTGTTACTGTAGTAATCAAGATGTTATCATATGCACATTGGGATCTTTGCAATTTGAAATAAACTTTGAAAGGCTAAGTCTGCACCCTAAGTCATTGATGAGTTGACTTCATACCTACACTTATAAATATGAAAAGAATTTCTGCCCCTTTGAAGACAGTTTTCTGGCCATCCATCTTCTCTTTATGTATTTATCTGTACTCTGGTCCTCTTTGAGAGCTGTCTGCTGAAAATTCATCCTCTAGATTCCCCTCATTTACACAAATCAATAGATTAATCTTACTGAACTAACCTCTCTCTCTCTCTCTCTCTCTCTCTCTCTCTCTCTCTCTCACACACACACACACACACACACACACACACACACACACCTTTCAGTCAACTCATAACTTGGAAATTTTATATATTTTATTTTGTACAAGAAAATGCATAGCTTTTGAAATTTTATTCATAAAATATAGCAATTGCTAAGTGTCATGTGCTATGTTCCAAGTGTTTTACAAATATAAACTTCTGACTTTTCATAAACACTCTGTGAAGTTGGTACTATAATTACTGTCATTTTACAGGTGAGAAAACTGAGCCACAGAAAATGAAGCAACTTTTCCATGGTCATGCAAAGCCATATTGTTATCATTAACAATAATAAGTGAATCAAGATGATAGGCTGTGCCTAGGATAGTACCCATTATTCCCATCTTACAGGCGAAGAACTGAGAGAGAGTGGGCAAGTAATCTGCCCAAGTTCACGTGGCAGGGCTGGGAGGCAAAGCCAGACTTTCTGCCTTCTAAGATCACTATACTGACTCCTGTTGTCTGGATTTAGGTTTCTCCAGAAGCAGACACAAGGATTCTAGGGAAACTGGAGGTGATCCCCAAAACAGAGGTAAGAATGGGAGAAAGTAAGACACGAAAAGGAAAGAAGCCAAGGAAGTGGGTCGACTGGAGCTTAACCCTCTTGGGGAGTCTGGAGGAACACTGTAGAACAGTCATCAGGACTGTTGTTGGGTGATATTAAACATCGGTGCTTCTGACCTGGGGCACTCCAGCAGCCAGAGGGCCTTCGGCAAGGAGAGGAAGTTTGGCAGAAATGCTCTGGCAGGATAGACAGAGAGGATATAGGCGGCACCAACAGTGTCTGCCAAACCTGGAATTTTGACATGTCACTGGTAATTTTCCAGCATTCCACTGAAACCCAGGAAAAAATAATAATCACTTGTCAAGGGACTGGATTCTTTCTGGCTCCACTAAAAATGGTTTAAGCACCATGAAAATACTTTATTTATAGTTTCTATGATTGTAGAGCTTCTACAGGTTGCCACCTTATTAAAGGTGATAAGTAAAAATCCACCTTTTTAGTATTATGCTGTTATAAGTATTACTATTAAAATATATTGCCCTAAGTTTATTTTCTAACTTATTAATAACTTGATGGTAACGACTTATCTGTACTTAGTGTAATGCTTAAATTTTAATCCAAAATGTCTCTTTCATAATTTGTCACAAAGTTTGGTAAATTACATTGGTATACATATATAAGGAAAAGATTATACTATTACTAATAAATACTGTTTTATTGTATTTGGAATTTGATTTTTCCAAATAACAAATATTTCATTGGCAAAATGCAACTTTGAGAATTTTATTATAGTATTTAAAACTTGTATATAAAAATTTGAAAGAAAGTAATCTAAGATTCAAGATACTTTACAAACTATTCATTTCATGATGAAGACCAGTACTTCATTTATTCTTGTGTAAGTAAATCAGAAATAGTATTTTAAACTGGATAAAAATAAGGGAATCTATTCAAAATTTGGCAACTTAATCTTAAATGCACATAGAGTTGCATATTCTATTTCTGGAGCTGAACTTATTTCAGGAACATAAAAAATTAAATAAAACTAAAATATTTGCTGAGCCTGGAATAGCATGAACTGTGATTGCTTTTAATAAGTTATAGAAGAAAGTAGTTTTTTTTTGCCCTAACCGGTTTGGCTCAGTGGATAGAGCGTCAGCCTGCAGACTCAAGGGTCCCAGGTTCGATTCCAGTCAAGGGCATGTACCTTGGTTGTGGGCACATCTCCAGTAGGAGGTGCTCAGGAGGCAGCTGATCGATGTTTCTCTCTCATCAATGTTTCTAACTCTCTATCCTTCTCCTTTCCTCTCTGTGAAAAATCAATAAAATATATTAAAAAAAAGTAGTTTTTCTTAGATGGTTTAAATGCACTAGCTTAAACTGAAAGAGGATTTTTACACTTTCAGAAGCTAATTGAAGAAAATGTCACAAATATCTTGGCTTGCAAGAGTTCCTTGGCCTTTACAAGCAGCAGTTCAACAGGGTTCTCTTCTCAGTGAGTGACTCTAAATTCTGCCACACGCCAATGGGAAATATTAAGTCACAAAGAAGGAAACTCTCTACATAAGGGTTTCCACTTTGTAATTAAATAAAATGTGAGGTCCAGTAAGTTTCAAAAAAATTCTTCAGCCCAGTGGATAGAGCCTCGGCCTGAGGACAGAAGGGTCCTGGGTTCAATTCCAGTCAAGGGCACATGCCCAGGTTGTGGGCTCAACCCCCAGTGGGGGGGGGGGGGTGCACTGCAGGAGGCAGCTGATCAATGATTCTCATCATTGATGTTTCTATCTATCTCTCACTGAAATCAATAAAAATATATTTTAAAAAACTCTTCAGTTGAAGTTCCATTTGTAACAACACTGACCCCTGGTGGTTGTATAATTTATATTATTTGCCTCCAAGAAAATTAATTCAACTCAAGTCTGTAATTCTAACTATAACGAGTGAAATATTTAACTAAACCGACGACATTTGGCGACACCTTCAAAAGGTAACACTTTCTTTTATTATGAATAAAAGTGATTAAATTCCCTGAATAAGAGGGTTATGGACTGAGGCTTTCTGGATTTTGCAATTTTTATCCTAATAGCTCGTAAGGGTTAACATTCATTAAACACCTTGATATTCCAGACCCTGTTCTAAGCACTTCGTATATAATTGTCTCTTTCAATACTTAAAATAACCATATAACATATGTAGTATTTCTATCCCATGTTGTAAATAAGGAAAGAGGCTTAATAACTTGTCCAAAATTATTAGAGAGTAAGAGAACAGAGGTAATCTGATTCCAGAGGAACTGCTTTCCTATATTTTCCTACCGGAATAAATTTATTCTTTTTTTCTAGGTGTTTGTGTTATCAGTACTATTGCTTTTCTCTTTTCTTACTGAGTTATATTTATGTGTTGAATTGCAAATCTAAGTATAGGATATTTTCATTCAGAATCATGTAATGAATCCCCATGTAACCATCATCTAGCATAAAAGTGAACAATTTCTATGCCCCAATTTCTAGTCCAAATTCTTGAAATGCACTCCAACATATCTCCCTCCATTCCTCATATTTTGATATAGCACATAATTTTATTAGTAATTATTTTAGGTTTCCCCTAAAAGATAAAAATGCTTTTTTTTCAAGCATAATCTAAAAAAAAAAAAAAAAAAAAAAAAAAAAGAACATTAATTCATTGATATTGAGTATCCAAGCAAAATTCAAGTTTTCCAGTTATCTCCTAAAGTCATAAATAATTTTTTTTTGTTTGTTTTTTGTTTTTTTACAGTTTGTTTGTTTGTTTGATTTGGGCTACTTGTTCTCATTTGGTCCAAACTTTCCTATGACCTGAGTATTAACTTCTTTTTTCCCCCTCATGGGATATAACAGTTCCTGAAGCAAGATCCCTAATGGCTGTAGTTGTTGTTTTTAAATATATTTTTATTGATTTCAGAGAGGAAGGGAGAGGGAGAGATAGAAACATGAATGATGAGAGAGAATCATTAATCAGCTGCCTCCTGCACACCCCCTACTGGGGATTGAGCCCACAACCTGAGCATGTGCCCTTGAACAGAATTGAATCCAGGACCTTTCAGTCCTCAGGCCGAGGCTCTATCCACTGAGCCAAACCAGCTAGGGCTGGCTGTCATCTTTTGACTACTTTATTATTTCATTTAAAGTGAAGGTTTGCCACTGGGTGGCAGTGCAGTACTTGGGATTTTATCCCAGTTTATAAACTGAGACACAAAGGAATTTGTCAGTACTGGTTTCCCTAGTGTTCAATTTTATCGTGTTTTTTCCTCATGGAAATGACAGTAGAGTTTAGCTTACTCAATTTCTTACAACTTTGGAAATAAAATTAACCTATCTTTATGCTGATACTTCTCTCTCTTTCTCTCTCTTCTCTCCAAAAAGATGTACATGATTCTTTATAAAAAAGCTCATGTTCAAGTGTCTATGTATATTGAGTTCACTAATATTAGTTGTTTTGGATGCCAAAATACATATAACATAGCCCTGGATTTTCAGAAAATAATAAATCATTGGCTAGAAAAGATATCAACCTGTAAGAATGTGGTACTAAATGCCAAGATCAGTCCTAACAGTTACTTCCATGGGAAATTAAAGATCCCTGAAGTTTGAGAACATCGCTCCAGATTTCTCAGGGCAATTAAGCTCAATTCTGATCCTTGAGAATAGTGTTCTTAATAAAAAGGAGAGGGAGGTGGTGGTTTGAATGGGTGAACAGCATAAAAACGACTGGAATTCTCTTTAATGCTCTCATGAATGTCTTTCCAGAATTTTCTAATAGAAAAATATTATTTCATGGTTAAGTGATTCAAGTCACATATAAAACCATCCAACAATGTACTCTCTGGTAGATAATTTTGAGTGCATAATAAAATTTTATTGCACATGGATATCTAGGGGATGTGCAGAGATGTGCCACTCAGTACCCACAAATTTGGGAAAATAACATGCTGTGGGAAATAAAAACCTCAACGCTCTGACTTTTATGTTTCCAGAATATCCACACTTTTGAAAAGCTACTTGAATAACATATGTTTATACAAACAAGTTAACTCAAAATTCACTGTAGTAATAATTTCATCATATAACCAGTAACTGCAGTTTGAAATACTCTATAAATTAATCATGAAGTAAAATTGGTTTTAAGTTATGCCAGAATAAGAATAAGCATGTTTCTTTACTTACTAGGCAGAAGGAATAATATTAGCAGATGCCATAATGTAGCTAAACAGTTTAACTTCTATTTTATCTCTTTTATGAAAGGGAACAATTGCCAAAGTGAAAATAACAAACATGAATAGGAATGATTTGAAGCTTGAGATAAATGAAAAGAAACAACATAGTTATTTACATGAATTCAGGCCCATAAAACCACATGAATTACACTTCAATGAGAGAAGAGGCAGTAGGAAATGAGGTGGTACCTTTTGAAAACTTGTTGAGAGGACAAGGTTGTTTTACCTGGTAACAAGTTATTGTTTTTTCCTTTATGTAATTTTATGACTATAATCATTACAGAAGCTTTCACACATACTGCATAAGTTATGTACTCAGGAGCTACAGAAATTTCTTAGAAAACTTGATATATATATTTGAAAAGCAAAACCAAAATCCATTAATGATTTTAAGATAATTTTTAAATGGCCATTTTATTATACATTTGTGAAACTAGATATAGAAAAACCTGTAATAGACTTGATGGAGAAGCATACTGCTTTGAAAGGGACATAACCATAGACTTAGCAATTTTTAAATTAATTAGTATAACATATCCCAACAACTTATGGTCTCCAAAAATGCAAACCTAAATTTAAAAGTTAAAAATCATAACATAGAAAACTGAATTTATAAAACCTTATTCTAATTCTCATAATTTTCCATAAAGTGCCAGTCTTTATCACCTCTGTGCTATTTCCTGAATTATGACATTTAAATATTTTCTTTGATTTGTCATTTATATATAACATGGGATTATAGTACGGCATCATAAGAAATCCATTAATGACTCATTCCCCTCAACTCTAAGCTTAGAATCTGGGTAGCATTTTTCATGTGTCAGGGAGCCTCTGCACTGAGGAATCCGTGACACAGAGCAGAGCCACAGACAAAGATTGCAAACCTGATATGTTATTCCTTTGTTTCCCACTGTCCATTTCTTACCCCACCCCTACTGGCTTTCACCCCCTCTAAGTCTAACACACAGAGAGCTAGTTTTCCACCATACACACCCTTATTAAAATTGACATTTTCTCTTTACTCCGTGGAGTGACCTCAGGCAAATCTGACTTTTCCGAGTATAAAACTGAGATAATTCCACTACCTACTTTACAGAGTATTCTGAGAATAAACTAAACAATTATGTGTGAAAAATATTTGGTAAAGTTTAAAAAAATCACATATACTTGTGCACACACACACACATCTTATTTCATTATTTTCATTCTGGCCACTTCTAATCCATTTAATTACAATTTGTTTATAATTAAAATAACTACACATCTTTTGGGTGTTTTTTTTTAAAGAGCCAATGAGAAGTTCACAGATGCAAACAGGTAGATATCCTGATATGTAAGATACTATAAAAAAATTTTCTTCCTTAAAGCAAGACGCTTCAAGATCCTTAAAAATTAGCAGAATCCATTCAAA